GAGCAGCGGAGCGACGCTCCCGACATGTCTGCGGACGAGAAGGCGGACCTCGAGGCCGAGCTGCGTGTGGCCAAGGGTGAGTTGCAGGAAGCCAAGGGTGAGTTGCAGGAAGCCAAGAATGAGCTGCTTGCGGCGGAAGAGAAGCTGAAGGAGGCGGAAGAGAAGGCTGAGGAGAAGCTGCCGCAGGCCGAGGAGAAGCTGGTCGCAGCCAAAGCAAAGCCGAGCTGAGGGAGCCGAGAAGCTGCAGGCGGACAAAGTGGGAGAGTGTCCGGGAGAAAGCCCGCCCTTTGGACGTGATTTCCGCGCCGTCGAATGCCTCGGCGAAGACTGTGGAGGAGCACGTGCACCTGGAGGCTCTCTCGCCGGTGGGCGATCCGGCTTTCCTTGTTGCGCTTGCGGACGGTGGGCTGCTGGCCGAGAACGAGGTGGGCGACATTGCTGCGCTCCGCACCGCGGTTTGGGACGGATCTGCGGGCGCTGGACTGCAGACAGCGCTTGCGTCGGCGCTCAAGGCGCGGCTGGGCGCGCTCTACTTTGCAGAGCGCGGACCCGGGGTCGCCGCCCTTCAACTCCGGAACTCTGAGGTCGCGTTCACCGGGCTGCTGGGCTCGGCGGTTGCGAGCGTGCTCGCGAGGGGCTTTCCGTGGGCCGTAGCGGTCACGGAAGCGGCCACGTGCGGTGTGCGCAACTCACGGGGCTCGCCAGCCAACCTCGTGGTCTACGGGCGGGCCGATGGGGAAGAGGGCCGTGCCACCACGGTCGAGCGCGAGAAGCTCCGTCCGAGCCTCGTGGTGGAGCTCGGGTCATCGGCCAAGAACGTCCAGGCAGCGGCATACGCGCACAACCTTGCGATTTGCTACGGCGACGTGGAGCATCAGGTGCCGATGGCGACGCTGGAGGGGCCGCATCCGACGGCGTCGGACTTTACCGTGGGCACGCTCACCCTCCGGGGCGTTGTTGTCCCGTCGGTTGCCGAGCGGGCAAGCGACGCGAGGACACGGACGACGGTGCCGTTTGGGACGTGGGAGTATTCAGACCTCGACACGTTTTGCGAGGTGTTTGCTACGGCTTTTGTCGCCAGCCTCAGCGTGGTGGCTGCGACGGCGGACCTGTTGCTGACTGGGCGCAGGCCGCCTGTGGTGCTTGCGGGCGCCAACACGTGCATGGTGGCCTCGCGACGGGTGTACAAGTGGTTCCGGCCCTCGACAGCCTCGTCGCGCCGGATCAACTTGCCCATGTGGACAGCTCACTCGCCGGCGGCCGAGGCGCGCGTGCTCACTGAGAGCGGCGGCAGCGACGCTCCGCGCGTGCTTGTCACCACGTTTCTCGCCCACGAGTCGCACTCGTACGTCCGGGTCGGTCACTTTGTCTCGCTCATCGGCTGGCTCGAGGCCATGCGCCGCGACTCGCTCGTCCACGGTGACATCCTGTCCCGCAACATCCGCTTTCCGGCTCCGATCGA